ATTCAGTGCAATATTGTAGAGCGAAGTATTCGCTTGGATTCAGTGCAATATTGGGTAGTGCGGTGCCCGAAGTGATTACGTGCAATATTGGCAAGTGCAGTGTTTGGTGCGATAAAGTGCAATATTGGCGCAGAACAGTGCTAGGTGAGTTAAGTGCACGTTAAGTATTCCATCTGTGACAATGGCAGACAAAGCTACCATCGATGATCTGGACGATGTTCAGGCTTTTCTGAACAGAGTGGACTGTCTTGCCAGATTAAAATATCTGAGCAAACCGGAACTTGTACTAGTGAGCGCCTACCTGGAGATCAAGATCCGTGCCAGTGATTCCCGTGTGGAGATCTTGTCCAAGGTTCACCGGCACCTGAAGGCAGAAGAGAAACAGGAAGGCGAGACTCCTAGTACAAGGGAAGGTGAGGAAATAGCTTCCACAGAAAAGGAAGATAAGGGCAGTGACATTGACAGTGATGCAGGTGAGCTGAATATAAGCTTGCTAACTGTCAAAATGCGTGCCTTGGAAATTAATCGAGAAATAGAGTGGAAGAAATTAGAAATGGAAAGAGAAAGACAAGATAAAGAATTGGCGATGAGGCGTTTAGAATTAGAACGAGAAAGAGAGAGAGAAGAACGAGAAAGAGAAGAGAGAAGAGAGAGAGAAGAACGAGACAGAGAGAGAGAAGAACGAGAAAGAGAGAGAGAAGAACGAGAAAGAGAAGAGAGAAGAGAGAGAGAAGAACGAGACAGAGAGAGAGAAGAACGAGAAAGAGAGAGAGAAGAAAGACAGAGACAACATGAACTAGAAGTTTTACGACTAGGCGCTGGACAGAGACAAACTGGAGTAAGCGGTTTCGATCCGGTAAGAAATATCAAAATGGTCCCCAAATTCAACGAGAGAGAAGTTTCGAAGTTCTTCGCAGCCTTCGAGAAAGTCGCTGCCTCTTTGGAGTGGCCAAGGGAGAATTGGGCCATCATGATACAGTCGGTTTTGACTGGGAAGGCCCAAATCGCCTACTCTACGTTATCCCTTGACGACTCCGGCGATTACGATATGGTGAAGAAAGTGGTGCTCATGGCGTACCAATTGGTACCCGAGGCATATAGGCAAAAGTTCCGAAACCTGAAGAAGACCTCAGAGCACACTTTCACCGAATTCGCCACCATCAAGGAGCGACTTTTTCAAGAATGGTGCGCCTCTCGGAAGGTGGAGACCAAGGAAGACCTCGAGCAGCTGATTCTGCTCGAGGACTTCAAGGATTGTTTGTCTGGAGACCTCAAGACATACTTAGAAGAGCAGCAGGTGGAGACCTTGAGTGCAGCAGCCACCATGGCTGAAGAGTATATCCTGACTCATAGGCCGTCTGCTAAGTACGTCCCAAGGAATTACCAGCGCCGGTTCGACAGACCTCATGATGAAGAAGAAAGACCCGTCCCACAAAGTGCTAAGAAGACGCCCCCAAGTAGCCCCCGAAGAACAAGTCCTAGTAGTCCGAAACACCTTAGTCCAAGGAGGAATATGGTGTGCTGGACTTGTGGGCAGAAAGGGCACATAGCTGCTAGGTGCCGAGGCAGAAGAGGTGGCAGCGCACGAAGGGAGGTGATGTTGATGAGCTGTGTTACATCACCAGTAGGAAACCAGTCTACGACGACGCAGGAAGGACCAAGTTTGTTGGCCCCTCACACTTCAACCGGGTATGTAACGAGTGATCATACTGGTAGATTAATTGTAGTGCTCAGAGATAGTGGAGCAGCCCAGTCCCTGATCGTGAAGAGCTCGTTACCCGAGGGAGTAAGTGTGGATGGGAGACCAGAGGTTATCCTGGTTGGGTTTCCGAGAACGCAGTATATCGCCCCCTTAGTGCCAGTACATCTCGACTCGCCTTATTTCAGCGGCACATGTGCGTTGGCAGTAGTCGATACCCTCCCTGTGGCTGGGATTGACGTGGTACTAGCCAACGACTTGGTGACCGATTGGAGCAACAATCATCCCAAGATAGCGGACGAGTCAGCCAGGACAGTACAGTCAGAGGTGTCTACAGGCAATGGTAATGTCCAGGTAAAGACAGACCCGGATTTGAACATGTCTAAATTGTCCTCTCGCCTACAGATTGAGAACGTTCTAGCAGTGTCTCCTGATTCTCTCGACAAGGAACATGAGGTTACGATGGCAGAAGTACCTGAGCTAGAAGAGAGGCCTTGTGTGCAGACACCCACGGATACCAACGAGTCTGGAGCGAAGGCTGAGGTGTGCTTGCGGTATGGCAAGTTGCAGCGTGTTGTGGACCAGCCAGAGATTCCCCAGACGTCAGAGGTATGTGAGGTGTGTTCAAAAGGTCTAGTGCCCTCTTTGGTCCAAGCCAGGCTAGTGGATGGTGCCGGCTATGGACATGACAAGCTCAGGAAACTTATCCCTCAATTGGCCCCATGTTTCTTAGCGATATTTTGTTTTGTTCTCCTATGTGTTCTCTGTGTTCTCAGTAAGGATCAGTGGACGACCCGAAGGATGATGGCTCCCGTGAACATCGAGAAGAGGTCCCTGGGATTAGAGATTTGTACTGCAAGTGTTGCAGTTGAAGAAGGGACCTGGGAGGTAATAGATGATACAGGAGGTACGATAGATGATAAAATGAGTGACTGTTTCCGGCAGGTTGACACCCCCCGCGTGATTGCTGAGCCTCAATACAGCGTTATATGGAACGTTGGTCGACCTGACGGAGGCAGAGCGAATGCCATCTTCGGTGTGAAAGCAGCCCTGTTGGGACTAGGTGTGAACCTAGTAGAGTATGCTGTAAGTATTGACTTACCCACTGCCGCGATCACTCTGAATTATCAAACCCCTGTATTCCAGGTTCCTGTCTCCCTGAAGGACCATCGGACCGGCACCAGAAATGCCGTCTGTGGTCAGCCATCATCGGTGCCACGACATAAGGAAGTGTCGAGTCACCCCAGATCGTGTCGAAACCATTCCGTACTCGAGAGAGGTGAGATGACGCCCCTGCTTGACATCGCAGTGGAGACGTGGAAGATTACGTCAGGCAGATCATTGCCTTCCATTTTCAAGCTCCCTTTGGGCCAGGGTTTCTCAGTAGAAAAGTTCTGTGGACAAGACAGCCTCATCACTCTAGTTCATAGTATAAGTAAGTCCATTTGGAGTTGTGTCGCCCTGCTAATTTGGTTTGTGTTTTTTATAGAACCCCAAACCAAATTCTTTTTGGTGGGGAGGTGTTACGAACCCGGATCCAGCATCCGAGCAAGGAGCAGTAACAACTACGCCATCTGTGGGTCGGCTCCCGAAACCCCCGCCAAACGGACGACGACACCTAGTGAGGACAGCGTGTACTGGCCTCGAGGACCAGTTTCCAGTCTGGTTCAGCGCTCAACACCGCCGCTCCTGACCTCTGGTGAGGTGGTGCTCCGACGACAGCGCCATCTAGGGAGTGGATATGTCGGGCGTTTGTATCTGAGCCTGTGAGTGTGGTGTATTAGTGTCCCGGTTATTAATGACGTGTCTGCTTACAGAGCCAACCTGGGACCACTGTGTTGAAGGTGTAGTCAGTCTACCCGAGGCAGCCAGTCTCCATACAGTGAAGTTTGCTGCAGCTGTCGTGACGTCGTCCCCCCGGAAGAACACTGTGGTGTGTTAAGCCTGCCAGTGGAGTGGCAGTGGAAGGATTTACCCGGGACCGACGGTTGGAGACGATAATCCACTGGGGTATTGAGGACAGGAGGGTGATTGGTGATATCACACGAGACTCCTGTCTAGGGCGTACCCCTTATATCGTTCGTGGAGTGGCCGTACCAGCCTTGGTGGCTCAGTACCTGCCAGCAGACCTGCTGGACGTGTGGTTGACGGCCTCCACGACGGTGCCCCCAGTGGACCTGTGTTGTGGCTGACCTGTGGCCAGGGTAGACTCGGCGTTCTCAGAGGACACGTCTTGAGGCCACGAAGAAAGCACCGCGGACTCAGCACCTAGCTTCAAGGATCCATAGTCTCCAGCAGAAGACTACAGTGTTGATCCCCTTTGTATAGTGTTAATACCCCTCCCCCTGGTGTACGTTTTATTTCTATATATTTAAATGGTGATGGTGAAAATTATATTATATTAAGTTCTTACCTTTCTTTCCCTACTCCCTTTAAGTTACTTGCGTCACGGATCGCATCCCTTGATAGCCTCTACTGGCTTGGGGCCGGATATATATACCTTCCTCTAACTACATCAGAGTAAGAACCCCGTTGCGTCCCGAGAGGGCCGTAACAGCCTTCCAGGTAAGTTCCCTTTTTACTTATCTTTGGTTATGTAGCTCCAGAGAGCCAAAGGGGCTTCCCACAGAAAACCATAGTTGAATGTAATGAAACTCCATTTTCTGTGTGAGGTCCGGAGGTTCCCTGGCACCCTTAATCTCTATGATCAGCGGTTTTGTTTTTGATGCTCAGGCTTCAAACTGAGGGGAGAGTAGCCAGCGCAAGGGTCTGGGGCTACCCCCCTTCTGATCCTGGAGAGGGGAGGGCTGCGCAGACAAGCGGCGTGGCGGAGGTGAATGACGTTTGCTTGTTTCCTTTGTTTTCTTTTGGGGAGTTCTGTTTCTTTGTTCGGTCTTGGGTTTTTTGCCATTTGCTACCATGTGGGTTTTGTTTTGAGATGCTTACCTTTCTGGGTGCTTTACCTTGGTAGATAGCAGATGAAATAACCCCCAAATACAAGGGGTTTTCCTAGGGCCATTGCTCCCTTTACCTCTCTGAGGAGGGCCATGTTCTGGTTAGTGGTCCCCAGTAGGCAGAACTGCATTGACCCAAAAGCCCCAGATAAATATTGTGTATATCAGTCCAATAGCTCCAGGGAGCCTCCGGTGCTCACCCAGAAAATGGTGTTTCATTACATTCATCACTGGGTTTTTTATTTATTTATTTATCATTTATATAAAAAACGTACATTGGGTTTGTGAGAGTACATAACATTGTTGTTTTATTTTTTTGCGCCTGAAGCCAAGATGGATCTTTACAGGCCTAACAACAAACGTGAGCCAACTTGAAGGTATAGCACTAGTGGACCGTTCCTTGTCTGCAGACACCATCTCCTATTTCCCAGTCACCAGTCTTCCACAGGGCATCCAAGAGAGGTTTAACTGTCTATTTGAAACCAGAGAAAAATGGACTCTGGACGAAATTCGACCTTATGTTGAGTAAGTTTTGTTGAATTTGTCTTTTGTGTCAAATTATCTCATTATTCAATGATTATAATGTAGTATATAATGAATCTTTGTTTATTTAAAACAGACTTAAAACATTTACAAAAAATACAGCATTGAATGTAATGAAATTCCTCTTTCTGGATGGGGCCCCAGAGGTTTCCTGAAGCTATCTCACTGAGATTACTCCCAGCTACTAGGTTATATCAGTCACAGTTCTGTTTGGCCTACCATGAACCAGAGCCAGAGGCACCGAGAGTGGATGACACTCCGTCACCCCACCAGGAAAGCATCCAGAAAGTCAACGTACGAATACAGACCACTGCTGGGTTCAAGAGAATTGAAGCTCAAATTGCTAAATAAACTCCCCAAACAATGTAAGCAAATGATCGACACACTCAAACTAGTTTGAATTCGTTAGCACTAATCACCCACCACCAGGGGATCCGGAACTCCAGGTCCTCGGTTAGTTCTGGAGCGGATATGAAAACCCACAACCACCCACCGATAATCCTGGTATGGAGAGAGGGAGACAGGGAGCCACCTGGGTTCATCCAGAAAGAGGCTTCGAACAAGGGACCAAGGAGGCAGAATCAACCCACAACGCATCCAACGAGGCAGAACTGATGGCACGAAGGTAGTGTTGAAAAGCTGCCATCGGATAAAAGAAATGATGCACCCCCTGCCGAACCAACCAAAGGACCCTTCCAGCTGACTCATTCTTTCCCAGAAAAGTAGAATGCAAATGAATGAAATGCACACGAGAGCCAAAAGAACAGAAACCCCACCTCCTGAGTAGAGAATGAAGCTTCCCAATCTGGAGGTGAGAGCCAACAGAAAAACTGCCTTTAACCATTAAACTGCGCCACACGTCATATGACGTGTTGCGGAACCCCATGACGGATACACGTGGTTTACCTCACCTTCATCAGGGCTCTTGTAAACAGACGCCATTTTTTTTTTAAATTGTGGGCAACATTCCCGGGTGTTAGGACCTCAGTACAGTGGTACCTCGGATTACGAGCGCCCCTGGTTATGAGTATTTCGGGTTACGAGTAGGATTTGCTTGGAAAATTTGTATCGGGATACGCGCGTGTTGATAAGCGTACTGGCCGACCTAGCGCGTGGTAGCACGGCTATTGCCCCTCAGTTTACCAGTGCCTCGTGTCCAGTGACTATCCCGCCTCAATTCTTCACCAGGATTTACAGTGTTTTGTTGGATATTTGGCCATTTGAGCATAAAAGTTATTATATATCTCGCAAAGGGTCCCAAGAAAGCTAGTGGTAAGGTTCAACCTAAGAAAATAGATATGAGTAGAGGCAGTAGTGGCTGTCCCTTCCTCATTAAGAAAATGTGTGAAGTATGGGAAGAACTGCAAAGTTTTGTTGAAAAAACTCGCCCAGATAAAGCTGTAGCAGACCGTTGCATTGACCTTTTAAATGACAATGTGATGTCTTACTACAGACATGTGTTAAAATGTAGGGAAAAACAGGTGTCTTTAGACAGATTCTTAGTAAGACAAGCAAGCAGTGAGCCACAACCAGGTCCTAGTGGTATGCAGACAAAATGTGCCAGAGTGCACACCAGAGAAGTCCTCATTGCCTGATGTTATAAAGGGAGGGGACTCCCCTTTCAAACAATAACCTCTCTCCTCCTCCCCCCTCCTCACCATCTTCCATACGCCAACAGCAGTCATCAGCAAGGGTAAGTAATAACTTGAACATAGTTTTGTAGTGTAGATTTCGATGAATTAGGTATAAAATTTAGTTTGAAGTGAGGTTTTTGGGTAGTCGGGAACAGATTAATTCATTTCCCATTATTTCTTATGGGAAAAGTAGCTTCGGTTTACGAGTTTTCGGGTTACGAGCCGTCTCCAGGAACGGATTAAATTCTCAAACCGAGGTACCCCTGTACTGAGTGAGCCACCAAGGCTGGCGCACGTAGCATGAGCTCACAGCACTGCTGACCAGCTTGTGACCGCAGCATCACCTAAAAATGTCAAAATATATAAGTACAAGTTACTATTTAGCAATGATAGTATTACAGAAGACCCCTGACTGTTATAAAAATGTCCAGGATTCTGATAATAGCAGGATTGTTGTGATAATTAGTGCTGTAGCGGGAGGAGTAATCTTGGTGGGGAGGGAGGTAGCGTTATCTGCCGACTCTGTGTGACTACCTTTTACTGTCTGGACTCACTATACCAGCTTAGTTGTTCGCTATGGTGAATAAAACATGCATATACTTATATATAACGTCTGTATATAGTGAATAAAAGCAGAAAACAGTATAGTGGGAAGAGAAGGGTGGCGAGTCAGGTGAAGTGAGGGATGGAGGGAGTCGCAGTCAGTGGCGGGCTAGCTGGTGTGTGGTGGTCACTCCTTGCAGCTGTTTGACTCGGCATACCTACTTTGTGATTCCTTATGGTGAACACAAATGTAGATACTTATATATAACGTGTATATGTAGTGTAATGACAGCAAAAGGAGTGTTAAGAGAAGCCATTTTGGTGAGGGAGGCGGCAACATTTGCATGACTTGTCATGCTGGGTAAGGGTGGCTACTATGCCCTTTGGGCACCATACTGCCTTAGTTGAACAATTATGGTGAACAAAACATATAGATATTTATATATAATGATGTACAGTATATAGGGTAATAACACCACAAACGGTATCCTTGAAGGAGGAACGTTAGTACGTCTGGCCTTGAACCAGTGATGATGGGAAGGAGCATGAGTTGTGTGTGGCCACCTGTTACTGTCTGCCGTCACCATACAAGATTAGTGGTTCGCTATGGGGAACACAAATGTAGATACTTATATATAACCTGTGTATATAGTGTAATAACCAACAAAGTATTTATTCACTGTTGTATGAACATAATAATTGAATCAATAATATGCACACCATAATTTTGAGTACAGCGATGATTCACACATTTTATTATATAAATATATCACACCACACACTATTGAATAATATTACAGCAAAAAAAAACAAAGAAAAAATAAATCAAAGACATTGAAATAATTGGGTAATTATATCTTTGTGGTAACCCACCGCCTGACAGCTGGGGGCGAAGCAGAACTCCCCCTACGCTTGCTGAGTCAGCGCCTCATTTTTGACAGACTTCCCCAACCTATTGCGGCCAAAATATGCCACTTACGATTTTTTTATTATTTTTCCCGTGATCAGGGAACACAAATTAACAGGTTAAGAAGAGTTTATTTTTTATTTATTTTTTTTTTATGTACCAATGAATGACAAAAGCCAAATAGCCCATAGCAACACAAGGGTTAAAAAGAAGTTCCAAACCGAAGGGAAACTGATGGATGGAAAGGCGAATACACAGTACAGAAAACAAGAAGGGTCAGGAGATACATGGGTAGGCCGGAGGTGAAACAAAGGATGAGACAACTTGCAGGACGGTGTTGAAGCAGTATTGACACTGAATGCAAGCAGTAGCTGCTCCACCAGTTCTGAACAATAAGAGGCAACAGTATTGGGCATGACATGCCCATCAAGAAACAACCAAGACAGAAAGGAAAGCACAACCCCAACAGAGGCAGAAGGAAGATGACGGAGGGATAGAAAGAGGTGAAATGAATGCCAAGTGACCTCATACTGCTGCCTCGTTGACAAATGCAGGCGGGACACAATTAACTCACCTACCTGCTCATCATAGTGATGGTGATAGAGATGTGTCAGAAAGTCCAGATGTGAAGAGCCAAGAAGCTCAAACCAGCAAGGTTTGCAAGCACCACCAGACTGATCTCCTGAAAGAGTCAAAGCCATGGGAAAATGCTTGGGCTCAGACACTGGGCAAGATCTAGAAACCAAAACTGAGCTGGCCACCAAGACGCCAGAAGGATCATTCTTTTCCTTGTAGATCTGGCAAAGATCAAGAGCAACAGCTGAACTGGGCAAAATAGGTAGAGAAACACCCACCTCAACCAGTCCAGCCAAAAGGTATCACCAAGAGAGCCTTGTGATTTGGAGAATGGAGCCACATAGGAAGCAAGCACTGATTCCATGCAGCATAAAGAGATCCATATCGTGGCTCCTTAACATCTCACAAAGCCACTGGAAGGACGTGTTGTCAACTCCATGGAAATGGGACAAAAATATTGGGAGACTGTCTACGAGAACATTGGAAACTCCCCCAAATGTGAATGGTGCAGAGAGCCAAACCCCAAGAATCCAGAAGATGAGTTACACATAGCATCCAGCTCCAGCACAATGGACCAAAGTAAACCTACTGGTTCAGGCAATAAACCACTGGGAAGTAGTCTGAATGAGGTCAGAGTATGGAGCACGGAGGAATCCGAATCCTCCTCAAGGCATGCCACATGGCTATAAACTCATGCACCGTACTGTATGCCCATGGAACACGCCTGACCATCAGTCCTGGATGGCCTGGCAAGCTCTAATCATGAAGCCCCAGCCCAGAATTGATGGTTCCATAAACACATTAAGTGACATCAGAGGATGGTGTCATGGGACTGAACCCCAAATGCCTGACGGGGAAGCTAGCAAAGCAAAAGCCGATGAAGTGTGATTAGAGCCCAAGCCTGACAGTCATGTCAGTGGTGAAATGGGTAGAAACAGAGAAACCAGTATGCCCAGAGCTTTACCCCACCCAGTGAAAAGACCATGCAGGCATAGTCCAGGCTCCCACACTGCTGCTCAAGCAACCGCCAAGTCATCCAGGGCCAATCCAACACTAGATACTGGTGGAGCTGCTGTAATAATATGTGACTGCTACTACCATTGTAATAACCGCTACTGTAATATATTAACACTTGGTCCGTCACACGAGGACCTAAGTAATCACTCAAGATGGACTTGAGTAGGTAACTTAAGGGAGTAGAGTGAGAGAACGAGGGAGAAAGATCAAGGAAGAGGGAGAGAGAGCGAGCAAGAGGGACGGGAAGAGCGGAGATCGCGAGAGAATTAAATATTGGCTTCAACAGTCTTTGTATATGACTTTCCACATAAGAACACTGCCACTACCCTGAGTTACCAGGCGGGGCCGGAGAGAGAGAGAGAGAGAACCGTAGGACTTGTAGATGTATAATGTCCTACCGGGACAGGTGTAAAGAACAAGTGAATGGTATATGGATCCTGGCCTGTCACTCGAATAATCCTAAAACCACTTTGGATGTACCATAGAATAAATGGGAGCAAGGCTGGACACCTCTAGTATTGACACCTCAACAATAGACTGATGGTGGAGGATTACTGGATAATTAAGAGCATTAGGTCACTAGGGGTCAAAAGGGGTGGTAAGCCCAGTATCACTAAGATACTGGGTACCGGGAGCCGGTCGGCCGAGCAGACAGCACACTGGACTTGTGATCCTGTGGTCCCGGGTTCGATCCCGGGCGCCGGCGAGAAACAATGGGCAGAGTTTCTTTCACCCTATGCCCCTGTTACCTAGCAGTAAATAGGTACCTGGGTGTTAGTCAGCTGTCACGGGCTGCTTCCTGGGGGTGGAGGCCTGGCCGAGGACCGGGCCGCGGGGACACTAAAGCCCCGAAGTCACCTAAAGATAATCTAAAGATAACGAAGATAACCATTAATACACAATGGAATGACATTTTGAAAATATGACTTTATTTAACACATTAAAATGACAATTCCTAACTAGGAATTCCCTACCTGAGGTAAAGATAATTGAATGGTAAGGTGCTGGGTACAAAAGAGCTGTACTTACTACACTAGTTGCTCCACGACAACGAAGGACGGTGTCTTTCCCGGAGCCACAAACAACACTTCCACCCTCCACAAATTCTCTCCCTGTTCTGTCCCTGGACGTAAACTCTCCTACAGTATTCAGCTGAACGAGGCATGTGAGGTCTTCAGCTTGCTTTTGATGTGGAAGAGTTAATCCTTTTGGATTTAGCATGATGGCATCGTATCTGACAACCTTGTGACCACATCACCATTGACCCGAGTTAACCTGTCCCATGGTTAGCTTCTCTGAGGTGTGAGTTTTCTATTATCTTGCACTGATTGTCTGGTGCCATGCCCCTGTGTCTGTTATGGTGTTATGTCTTCTGCTATGTACTGCTCTCTTGTTACACTGCAGACAGAGCATGGCCTCCATAGAAAAGGAAATTGAAGCCAACTGAGAGTCCCAAACAAGACCCAGTCAAGTCAAGCCTGGGACAACCAACTGGGACTTCCTCCATTTCACCGGGAACTCGAACCCAGCAAGCTGGAAAAGAACCAGATCCCTGGCCAGATGACATGGGACTGACTGGGGGATTAAACCAGCCAGTTATCAAGGTAGGCCAAACTCAAACCCCTAAAACACATAGGTGGACCACCACAACCCATGCTAGCACTGTGAAAACATGGGAAGCCTGATTCAAGTTGAAGAGCAAAGCCTGAAAGCAGTAACCTGCGGCACCACCACTACAAAATGTAAACAATTGATGAACCTCAGATGTATTAGGACATGCCAGCAAGCATTATTTTTGTTCCGGAGAAATCTACGACTCGTCCTCTAATACAAGATGCATCTGGGAATGAATGAATGAATGACAGGGAATGAACATTTTCAAACCCAAGAGATCAAGGATGAACCTAAGATCTACCGAGTCCTTTCTCGGGACTGGGAAAAGACGGTACACCCAATGAAGAGATATGATCATTTCAACCTCATTGGAAGCCAACCAGTTCTCAGTGACCCAGCAAAGGAGCAGGGAAGAGACTTGGGCTAAAAACCCAAAAGGAAGGACCAACTCCACAATGGCAAATGACACAGTAAGCCCACAAGTAGTGGGACCAGGAGTTAGCAAACTGAGCCAGGCACCATCCTAACCGCTCCATCAAAGGGGCAGACTGTGAAAGGGGGGCGGTGTGAACCATGAGCTGCAGCATCTTTCCCTCAGGCACGAGAACAGTGCCGACTAACAGAAGAACCAGTTGAGAGAAGTGCAAGGGCCCCAGAATCTGGCTCCACCATGGGCTTACCTCAGTCAACACCAGGCAAACCCCCAGCCTGATCACACTTCCTCCAGTAATGAGTGACAGAACTCTGAGTGCACAGCAAATGAGAAACTGGATGACAAGAAGCCGTTGTCGCAGCCAAAATTCATGAACAACATCTTCGGGAAAAAGAGAGGCGAAAAGCGGGAGGCTTTTCCAGAATCATTGTTTAACACAAAACTGAAGCAGTTCCTACTCTTGATCATATTTGATTTATTGTTGCTTCTTTAATCTTTTAAAATTAATTAAGCTGTTTAAATTACAACTATAAAGCCTCACACAAAGTCCTTCATCACTATTACACACATTCTGCATAGTTCTGGTTGGGGTCCATGTTTTGACATTAGTGACATGAAAATCCATACCTTTACTGTGTTACGTTATATTAGGATAGTTGCATCTTTTGTCATTTATCATTTAGTCTATGGTGTATCTTCCAATAGTTCCCATATTTCATTAGGCAAGTTCAAAAATATATACTGTATATTTATTTTAAATTTATTTACAGAGACTTGGCTGGAGGGAAGACCCCTGTATCTGCCCTTTTAACGAAGTATGCTCGAGCTTCGACCTTGGATGGCCTTAAATATTATTCTGGAAAGCATGCAAGATAGTGTTAATTTGTTGGTATATTTTCTATAATAAATCAAAGTTCCTTATTTCCTGGTGTTAACAGCCTTATAAAAAGCTATGCTTGTTTTAATGAACCAGAAGGAAAAAGTGTCAACATAGTTTGTAAGATTTGATGAAGACATTGGTGTCAAGGATTTTAGGCACTTGCAATGGATTCTAATATACACCTTAAAAATCATCATGGCAAAAGTGTATAATAATCTTCAATGTGTGTCCATGCACTTAGACTGGTCGGTACCATGGCTTTGAGGTTACCTCGAGGTGATTCCAGGGCTCAGCGACCCCGCGGCCCGGTCGTCGACCAGGCCTCCTCGTTGCTGGACTGGTCAACCAGGTTGTTGAACGCGGCTACTCACAGCCTGACGTATGAGTCACAGACTGGTTGATCAGGTATCCTTTGGAGGTGTTTGTCAAGTTCTCTCTTGAACACTGTGAGGGGTCGGCCAGTTATGCCCCTTATGTGTAGTGGAAGTGTGTTGAACAGTCTCGGGCCTCTGATGCTGATAGTTCTCTCAGAGTACAGTACCTGTTGCACCTCTGATCTTCAACGGGGGTATTCTGCATATTCTGCCATGCCTTCTGGTCTCATGTGCTGTTATTTCTGTGTGCAGGTTTGGGACCAGCCCAAACCTGATATTTTCCATGTGTAAATTATTTTGTATCTCTCCTGCCTGCGCTAAAGAGAATACAGATTTAGGCTCTTTAGTCAGTCCCAATAGTTTAGATGTTTTACTGAATGGGTTCTAGCAGTAAAGGATCTCTGCACGCTCTCCAGGTCAGCAATTCCTCCAGCTTTGAAAGGGGCTGTCATTGTGCAGCAGTATTCCACTCTAGAAAGCACTAGCGTCTTGAAAAGTATCATCATCGGTATATCATCTCTAGTGTGAAAAGTTCTTATTATCCAACCTGTCATTTTTCTTGCAGTTGTGATAGCTACTTTATTGTGTTCTTTAAATGTAAGGTCTTCCGACATCAGTACACCCAAATCCTTTTTACATTGCCTTTCCATTCTATGTTATGATTTGACTACGTTTTGTATGTGGTTTCCGTTTTTATATTTTCACTTTTTCCATAGCGCATGAGCTTAAACTTATCTTCGTTAAACACCATATTATTTTCTGTAGCCCATAGAAAGACCTGACTTACATCTGATTGGAGGTTTGCCGTGTCCTCTATGTTGTCTACTTATAAAAATTCTAGTGTCATCAGCAAAGGATTATACAGTACTATAGGTTGTGTCCTTGTCTATGTCCGATATGAGGATGAGAAAAAGTACAGTACTGGAGCAAGCACAGTACCCTGGGGACTGAGCTCTACGGTTGATGGTCCGGATTTTATTTTGTTGACTATTACACATTGGGTTCTATTAGTCAGGAAATTATAGATCCATCTGCCTATTTTTCCAGTAATTCCTTTTGAACGCATTTTATGTGCAAGAACACCATGATCACACTTGTCGAAAGCTTTTGCGAAATCTGTGTAAATTACATCATCGTTTTGTTTGTCTTCCATGGCATCTAGTGCCATATCATAGTGGTCCAGCAACTGTGATAGGCAAGAGTGCCCTGTTTGAAACCATGTTGTCCGAGGTCATGGAGAGGGTGTGTTAGTGCTATCGGTCTGTAATTTTTTACTTCTGCCTCCTTTATGGAGTGGCACTATTTCTGCTGTTTTTAATATGTTAGGGATAATGCCAGTATCTAGGCTTTGTCTCCAAAGAATGTGAATGGCCTGCAATAGCATTTTTTTTTTTTTTTTTACAGTTCTTGATGAATATAGAGATCCAAGAATCCGGGCCTGGTGCAGAGTGCATAGGCATACTGTCTATGACTTCTTCAAAATCCAGTGGGGATAGAGTGACATCTGATATATGATTTGATGTTGGTATCATATCCATAAAAAATTAATTTGGGTTATCAATCTTTAGTGTGTTTAATGGCTCGCTGAAAACAGAGTCGTACTGCTTCCTCAGTAGCTCGCTGAAAACAGGGTCGTACTGCTTCCTCAGTAGCTCGCTCATTTCTTTGTTGTCATCGGTGAAAGTTCCATCTCCCTTTCGCAGGGGCCCGATACTAGTTTTTTTTTTTTTTTTTTTTTTTTTTTGTAAGGAATATTCCTGCGTGGGCCCTAAGCCTAGATACTAGATGTGTTTTTTTTATCTTGATTTTGCATAGGAGAAAAAATATTTTGGATTTCTCTATTTCACTGATGGTCTTTTTTTGAACTAAAGCTACAAGAATCATATGCAATCCTCTCCCGGATTGCATATGTTCTTGTAGCTTTAGTTCAATTGTTTCTATTTCTCTACCTAACCTTCTTCACCGTTCTTGAGATAGGGTGTGACTCTCAAGTTGTTCCGCGATTTGTTTTCTTCGCCTATAAAGGAAACGACGTTCCCGTTCCAATCTGCATGTCTTCCTCTGTTTTTTTTCTTAGGGGTATGTGGTTTGAACATATTTCTATTGCTACTGAGCTTATTTTTTCCGGGCACTGGTTCCAGTTTGCATTTTTCTAGCTGTTCTTCCCAGCTTATTTCTGTGAAGTCTTGGTTTATTTGCTCCCAGTTTATCTGTCTATTATTGAAGTTGAATTTGCTGAAATCTCCTCCACCGGGAATCGTGACTGGTTTTGAAGGTCTATTCCCCATGCTTGTCAGAACTTCAATTAAGTTGTGATCTGATCAACAAGAATTTGTAATCATTGTTCCAGTGCAATCCAGTGCAGTACAGTGCAATCAACACTTCTTGCCAAGTTGGCTTTTAATATCTGATGGTGTAAGTGGTTGGCTCAATTCCTTCACTCTGTCGTTATATCCCAGCTCTTAGTTAACCCCTTGTGTTTTTCCAGGTGCTATATACTGTAGTCACATTGGCCTAACAATTTGTCATAATTAGAATTCCTTTAGTTTTTATAGAACCAAAAGTAAAACTCATCACATTAACATTAATTAACTTGCCATATTCATGACATAGATAACCAAGAAGTAGATATAGATTGGGGGCCATATTGCAAGTAAATATTTTCCCATTTAAGACTAGTACAATTGCCAATAATATAAAACATCTACAGTATTTGTAGAATTTAAGTCTTGGTATGCTACTGGTAAGTATTTAATAAAAATATCCCTTCAATGACTTGTGGATATAAGAAAAATTTTTTACCATGAGGTCAACATAACTTGAAGGAAGAGAACCTCTCGTGTATATTTTCTAGGGAAAGCCCCTTGTGGCTCCCTGAAGTTACCTTGCTGAGATGGCTCCCAACTACTAGGTCACATCAGCCACAGTGTTCTGCTTGGCCCACCAGGGACCAGAGCTAGAGCCTGCTCCCCTTCCCCCACTGAGGCTCAGAGAGGTGACACTGTCACCTCACCAGGAAAAGCATTCAGAAAGTTCGTGAATGAATACAGACCACAGCTGGGTTCAAAGAGACTGAAGCCTAAAATCCACCAAGTGAAATCCCAACTCTCCTAACAATGTAAACAATTAAATCTAGAAACAAACGTGAGAGTTTGTTGGCACTACCCCTCGTCCCCACCTGCCGATTGGGGCTCCCAGAGCTCTGTCGCCTCCAACCTTCCACACCAGTTCTGTTGCTGATGTGGAGGTGGACTGTACTCCTGAGTTGTCGGCAAACCATGCAGGTCTCACTTGCTTTTATCTAAGTTCCAGCCATCCTTTGATTTTGTCCTGTGAGGCCATTTGTTTCTTGTTGTACCTTATTCTGATTGAGCTTTACAAATGTGTTTTCTCTCCAGTTTGTGTTATGTACACTAGGCTCATAGGGTGGTCAATAAACCCCATGTTCATCGGTATTCAGTAAATTCAGTTTTAATAACAAAAGGATAGACTGGAAGAAAATAAACAGGAAACACAAACAATCAATGGGAAACTGTTCTAAGTACAACTAATAAAAATCCTACACAATGTGACGGTGTCCCACCCCTATATCTTTACTGTCCCGGCATCAAGAGTCATATCTCTGCAACCTGAACGTTCTCTGATGTTCAGGGAACATTTTGATATATATGAAGGTATGGAACGTTATCGTGTTGGCAGTGAATTTGCCATTTTAGTTTGGTTATACAAGTGGTTTATGCCCTTTTGAGTTATAAGATGGCGCCGAGGCACTCCGCTTCCCGCCAAAGAAGCGTGCCGCCTGCTGGCTGTTGATTGGCCTGGTAGGGTCACATGACATCATGAACTAGTGGGGAGGAGCCCTCTGGCGGTGTGACGTCACGAGGCAGAGGGCTCCAGGCGGCAGGCACCCCTGCGGGCTCAGTATGTCACGGCCCGTCATAGAGAATGGCCGCGCTAAAGTGAGCTCCCGATTTAGAGGCTAGGAAGCCCCAACCAGTGGACCCAAGCAGCCGCATTGATACTGCAAATATCGTGGGAGGTCACCTGACCCCTGTAGAGTACATGGAAGCAAGGCTTGGCTGGTGTTAGAGCACCAAGTGCTCTTTTACTGATAGTCTGTGGCAGAGACGAATGTTGGGCTGGGACACCTAGCGGGACACGTTCAAACACTTCAGGCGGCCTGCTGTGGTTGGGACAAGTCCACTGGAGTTTTGAGGAGAGGACGCTGGTCCGGACTGCAAGTTTTGTCCACAGTTCCAGCAAAGAGAGGAAGACGACGACGTGCTCAGGGACCTGTCTCCAGTACCTCAAGAGGAGGAGGAGGAGGATCTGCCTGCAGAGTGTGAGAACGGCGAGGACGCGCATCTACAAGTCGACTGAGAACCTTGTGTGTACAGGACCCTGATCAACGGAGGACCAAACGCCAGGACCGAGGACCTCAGCGACTCTCGTCAGAGGATACGTCGACTATGTAGCAGAAAGAGTTAAGGTAGATAATTTTCCCTCCCATTACCCCTTGATCTAGGTGAGCTAGGATATCTTTCATGTCGTGAACATTGTCTCTATATATTACTACCAGTGCGGTAGAGAGTTTAGGCTAGGAGCCAGGTTACTCATGTTGGCATGGGTTAATAGATACATGCACATGGGTGTAGTGACATTTTGGG